ACCTTTTCAAACTGTCTTGTGTTAGTGTTTCTTTTCATTATACCCGTTACTCGTAGAGTAAAAGGGTATACTATATTCGTCGGAAAGTATGTAACAGGCAGAAGGAAGCGTTTCCGACCCCATAAAGTATATATATTCTTGATCAGGATCACTAGCCGAGTCGATCTAGCCATGTCTGTCTGTCCGTCTGTCCGTCTGTCTGTCCGTCCGGATGAACGCTGAGATCTCGGAAACTGTGGAAGCTAGGCTATTGAGATTTGGCGTGCAGATTCCTGAGCTTCTTACGCAGCGCAAGTTTGTTTCAGCAATGTGCCACGCCCACTCTAACGCCCACAAACCGCCCAATTCTGTGACGGCCACAGTTTTCATGCTAAATAAAAAATTTTAACTGAAATGTATTGGTCTCGTCAATACCTATCGATTGATCCAAAAAAAATTTTGCCACGCCCACTCTAACGCCCATAACGCTTAAATCTGTCTACCGCCGGTAGGTGGCGTATTTAAATCTCGATTTGCTGCTTGCATATCTCTATTTAGCTAAGTAACGGGTATCTGATAGTCGAGGTACTCGACTATAGCGTTCTTCCTTGTTTTAATTTGTAATCAATTATTTTAACTAGAAATTAAAAAACATTCGTTGGTGTATTTCGCTCAATGATTAAAAATGTATTTAGTAATAAACATTTAGCCAATTTCTTTTAAATGGTTTTAGTTTTAAGGTCACGGAGATATTTCTGTAGAACTCCTAATAGCTAGTACAAATACTAAGAAATATTAACAAATATAAAAAAATCTATACAGTGTAAATAAATCAGTGGATAAAACATTTATTGGTACTATTAATATAAGGTTTGGTATGTATATTAAAATATAAAGTTTGATGCGGAACGAACTGTATGCTATAAAGTAGACTTATTTTCCGCACTTCAGCTTGATTAGACATTAACGATCATTGGCATTTAATGGAAGATTCGCAGATTAGTACCCCCATATCTCCGTTTATGTCCCAGGAAGAGGCAGCTGGGTCCGCTGGTGACGCAGTCAGGGGATCGCTGGGCTGCCTCCATTATATCACCTCTGGGTGAAAGTGATGATGGCATACGATGGCGAGGCCTGCGCGCCAATACTCGTTTGCGAATATTTTCCTGTATGTGGCACACAGGGTGTGTGCTCGCACACCCGCGGATACGCCCCGCAACACCCTGTTTTGGGGCAAATATATGCTAATGCCGTAGTTTTGCATTTTTGCCTGCAAATATTTTTTTTCAATTATCGATTTTCGTTTGCCAGTTTTCTTCTGCTTGGAAGGTGTGTGTGGAAAAGCGCTGCGACTTCCTTATTGCAGTTGCTCGGTATTTTTTTTGCGTTGCTTCAATTGCCGCTGATGCTGACTTTTAGCAGGCACTGTGGGCAGAGAAATCGCGAAGGCGAATTCCAAACGCCAAACCAAATGCCTGTCATCGATTAATGAATATTCATAATTGCGGACAGGCCAAAAAGCCCAGAGCAGCAGCTGCCTGCCCCTTGGAAATTGTGCCACACGAAATTAAGAGCAATTGCTACTCGAATTTGCGGTTGCTGGCTGGCTTTCTGGCTTTCTGGCTGGCGGAGTGTATGCAAATATTTGCCCTGGCCGCAAAAAATTAAAACACGAAATGGCAAAAGCAAAGCGGCAAACACTTTCCAACTGTCGCAGGCATCCGCCAGCAGCTGGCGGTGGACCTGAAGTTGAAGTTGAAGTTGAAGCTGAGGCTGAAGCGTTCACGCGGCAGCAGCACCCGCACCAATCCCAATCCCAATCACAATCCCAATCCGAAGCCCCAACTTCAACCCAATACCAAATCAACACTGAAAACAAATTTTAGATTTTATTGTATTACCAAAATAAGTACTTATTTGGAAAAATATTTTTAAAATGCACTGCACGTTATACTAATATTAAAGAACTTATGATTATATTATAAAATAAACTAATCAAAAAATTATGCAAGCGAAGTCCATGATTTAATTCCAAAGCGAATTCATAAAGGCTTTTTATTGCACACAAAATTTATTCATTCAATTGTTTTAATTCTAAGAATGATGCACTAAACTGCATACCTCCCATAATATTTTAGAAAAAAATTAAACAAAAATCAGATACATACATATATTGATTTAAAACCATTTTTAAGTCAAGGAATATTTTCCGAAGTGCAACTGCTGTTAAATTTCTGAATATGTTATCAAAAATATAAGTAGTTACTTTATTCATTTTATAATTAATACCATCTCCTCAAATGTATGAATATGTTATCAAAAATATATGTAGTTACGTTATTCAATTTATAATTAATACCATCTCCCCAAGTTATTCAATTTATAATTAATTCCATCTCCTAACAAAGGAAATTGTATTGCGCATTTTGGTCGCAGTTTTCGTATTTCTTCAGCCCAAGCTTATTTCTTCCTGTGCATCAGCCTCTTGACAGCCACTGCAGATACAGATGAAGAAATGCTGCCGCTGCTCCTTTCACTTTCAATTCGTGTGCGAATCGAGAGCAAAACGGACTTTTAGCTTTGCTAAATAGCAAGGGGCAGCAATCAAAAGTAAATAGAAGAAATCCGTAAAAAAAGCAAACAAACTAAAAAACTAATGCCGGATGAATCACCTGAAAGCGGCAGCGGATGTTGTGTTGACCGCCTCGCGGTTTCCCAAAGGCCATTCCGCTGGCATGGGCGACACAAAAATCATCACATGCCATCCGACGATGCCGCGGTATCGGGTAAAACCCGTACCACCCCGTTTTAAGATCAAGGCTTTCCCGTCCAGCCTTGACGTTGAATTGTTAAGTATTCACTGTACGGGCTTGAACGCTCGAGTGGCTAAAACAGATAACAGATGAACCATTGTGGGGAGCGATTTCTTTGGGCCCGCAAGTAAGTTGTCAGACCTCAGCGGTTGAACTCAGGCCAGGTAATTGTGGGCAGCTGCAGAAGGTCTGGCAACTTGAAAGTAGATTATCTGCGAGACTCAATTATTGTTGACGTAAAGCTAGGTACATTTTTTGTTGATTTATTTTCTGGATTGATTTTATAGACACTATTGATAAATTTTAGAAAAAATTAAAATTTTAAGAGGATATTGTTCTTGAACGAAATTCCAAAAATTACAGCGACTCGTTTTTCCCATTTAAGTTCTCCACTAAATATTTTTGTGTTCCTGTTTTGTTTACCTATATCTCTAACATGTTCATGGTTGTCAATAATCTTGTGGGTGCAATAAAATTCTAAGAAGATATTGTTCTTGAAAGAAATTCCTCAAAGAACAGGGACTTGTTTTTCCCATTTAAATTATCTACTTATTATGTTTTTTATTCCTGTTGATTAACTTATATCTCTAATATTTTCAACTTTCTCTATTATCTTGTGACTGCACATAATACAATTTAAAGAAGAAATGGTTCTCGAAGGAAATTGCTCAAAGAGCTGGGAATCTTTCATCCATTTAATTTCTCTACTACACATTTTTTCCTATTTCTGTTTTTTTTACCTATAGGTAGGTATAGGTATAGACATATATGTCTATAATATTTTCACGGTTCTCTATAATCTTGTGACAGTACAATGGACCTCTGCTGCACCCTTGTGATACGGCTTGCAGTTAATCTTGTTTGCTCTCCATTGGCTAAAAGTCGGTGTCAGTTGGACAAGGCGCACACGCTGCTTTATGTACATTTCAATCAAATCAACTGCAATTAGCTGTCACAGCCGAGTCACAGCCTGTCACAGTCTGTCAAAAGGCATTAAATGTTGCGACGCTTTCGTGAGTTGCGGGTTCTGTTTTTCTGCATTGGGAAAATATGAACTGAAAATGTTTAATTGGCGGCTGTCATGTTTGGCCGGCAACAAAAACTGAAATAAAACGATGGTGCTTACTATTGGCCATGGCGGCCAATGATGCTTTACGACTTCATATCATAATTGCAGCTTACGAAAGGGTGACTAGGGGGAGTTATGCGAGAGGTATGCTTACACAGAGAGAAATACATTGAATGGAGGTCGATCGGATTGTAGGTAAATAATTTGTCCAATTTAAGTTTGAATAAAATAGTTTGAATTCTAAAATATGTATGGTAAAACATTATTATAGATACCCAAAACTCTGAAACATCAATCTGTTTTCTCAGCTTTTCGATGCTTTATAAAAGATACATAAACAATTTTTACTTCCCTAATTATTCTCATGTACTTGATCAGATGACATATGTTTCAAAAGATTTTAGACATGCTCCATAAATATTTGAGATATTCATTTTCAGAAAAGTCTTCTTTATTTTAAATTTTAAAGTATTTGTGTTTTTAAATTTATACAGATTCCCCAATTTACAGAAATTTTTCTATCTGGTATAAAAACAACACATTTTCCCAGAAAAGTTACATATATGTACTTCCTTAATGGTTATTTCTGGTTATTGTTTGAGCGCCATTTCTATGATTATATCTTAAATCTTTGTGTGTATAAAATGCATCATTATCATCTCCAATTTCATCCCCAGAGAGCTACAAAATTCATAACACTACCTGAAATGGCCAAGAGATAAGATCTGAGATAGCCATTTGCTTTGCAAGAAACACATTGATTTGGCCAGACCTGGTATTTATTATTTTCGGTGTACGTTCGTCTGCCGGCATTAAGCAATAATTTGTATTATTTGTACAATGCGGTGGCTGTTACAGTACTCCATCTCCCCGCTCGATCGGCCCCGGTCCCCAACCCCTTTTTATATCTTTTACGCTTGTCTGTGCATTTATTGTTGCCTAATCGACGCACGGCCAGGGGCGGCGAGGGGGGATCGGACAGCTGATTTTCCGAAAACCCCTTTTGGGGGCTGCTTCGTAGGAAGAGCAGCGCGGCGACTGCAACTGCGACTGCGGCTGCGCAGCGGGTTGAAAAGCTCGCGCTCGGCTTCGCTCAGCTTTTGCGCCTGCGCAGACCGTTCAGACTTCTTTGAGACTCCGCTCAAGAAGGTCGTGTTCGCGCTTCGCCTCGATCAACTTCGGCTCAAGTTCGGTTCGTTCGCGTTCGTATCTGCAAGATAGTATACTGTATATATAGATACATATAACCCGTGATCGCGATCGCTGTAAGTGCCACTGTGTGAGTGCAGGATTAAGATAAGGCCCAGGACTCCAGGCGAAATATGGCCAAAAACAGCAATTAAAGTGGCACCCATTGGAGAGATGGAAAGAGAGAGAGGGAGTGCTACGGATTGGATTTGGCTTGCAGTTGCCTGCAATTTCAAGACCCCCTCCCTGCGAGCAGCCTCCCCTCTCGCCCACAGATCTAAGCCTGGCCTGACAGTGAAAGTGATTTGATTTTGCAATTGGAGTCGCAATCGCCTCGCTGTTGTTGTTGTTGTTGTTGCGAGCGACTTTGAACAATATTTCTGCTTGTTTGCTGATCCGATCAGCCAGCAGCAAACGGCAAAAAATAAAGCATTTTGTTTTTATTTTTATTATTACTCTCGCTTCAAACCAAACCAAACGAAAATAAATAAACGGCAAAACAATAAAGAAAAGTGCAAAGAAAACAGCCACATAAATTGCGAGCAATTTGTAATCGGATTCCTAATACAATTTCTTTCTCTCATTTCGCCTAGTGTGTTCCCCCCGCCAAAACAAAAATCAAATTGGATTAATTCTCAGCAGATTTCACACTGCTCCCCAAAGGTGAGCTAACCAAATTTGCAAATTACTTTCGTTTAATAAGGCTCCCGAATCGATTTTTGCCGCTTCCCAGCGATTAAATCATTTGGACGTTGCAACATTCGCACAGCTCACCAACCGCAAAAAAAGAAACTACTCAGTTATGGTGCAAAAGTAAAGCGTCATTATCTAATAAATCTTACCATATACCACTCGGCAAAATGCATAAAACGCAAACCTCATGGCGTGGTCGTGGTCTCTTGCAAAATGTGGAAAGTATTTGCGCTTAAATGCTTGCAAAATGCCTGGACACATAAACCGCCGCAGTGGAACCATCAGGGTGTCCCGTTAGGGGAGTGGTTGTGGTTTGGGTATAACACCTGCGAATGATATATATTTCGACTTTTGGAGTCCGCTAGAATAAGCTGGACCAGTGTAATAATTGCAGGTTGTCATGCATTTCTCAGTGGGATACTGCTGACTAGTAAAACAGGAAAATATTGGCAAATAGAGTTTAAACTAGCTATTTGAAGTGTTTGGATTTGATTACTTTTTAATTACTTTTCTGTATCAAAAGCATTTTAAAAGTCTGTTAATCTAGTTAATTTCCATTGAGTAATCTATGCAAAATATTGCAAATATTTAAGATAACTAAAAATTCAGAGATAAAATATTTTTTGGTATGGTAATATGTATATTTATAACATTGTATTCAGTTCATTAATCTTTGAACAATTCATTATACTTTTCAAATCTTTAAAATAAGACAAAATCTTTCAGTATTCTAAATGCTTAAGAAGATTTTAATTTGTTTATGAAATATTCAAAAAGTCTTAACAACACTTAAATGCTTACAAATATTTGAGTTTTATTATCAAATATTCAGTTTGTCTTTACAAAACCTTTCAACATTACTCAACCCCAATCATAAGTGCTTCAAAAACTTATCTACAATTCATTGTTTTGTGTCTCGAACATTATAACATCAAAGCTGAACTTCAAAAATCATACTTGATGACCCAATAAAACGTCATATCAACAAAACAATGCCAAAATTCGGTCGATTATTCAATGTGTTTCCACACAAAGAGCTCGATAATTATTATATAACCGACACAGACTTGGAATAATAAATAGGTTGGCCCGAAAGGGCTGAAACAAAAAAACCATGTCAAGTCGCCAATAAAACAAATAAGAGCCAACGAAATGCAAAAAGGAAAGAAACAAAAAACCGGAAAACATAAATACTGAGCCACATACAAAAGTGCGTAAAAGAAGGGCAAACGAAATGTGAAATGAGTCAAGAGGAAAAAGGGGCGAAAAGGGGAAAAGCGAGGCGCATCTTAGCCTCAATTTGGTTAACTGCAGCTTGAGCCACAAATTATTTGGCAACGTTTTTATGGCCCCGTCGATGTCTTGTGTTGACTACACAATACACCTTCGTGCGAGTATCTGTGTGTATGACATGAACTTCATTATCAGCAACGCCGACGCCGTCTCTTTATTTTTTTTATTTTTTGGTAACATCTCTTTACTTTTTTTTCGTTTTCCTGAAGTGGTTTTATTTTATTTTGCTTTTTCAATTTAGGGCTGGCTTATTGCATAAGCGGAGAAACTCGTCTGGGCCTGCTCTCTGGAGCATGGTACTACTTTAATGTATATACAAAGGTGCCAAATTAATGTATATAAGTATGCCCCGACTTGGTTGTTGTGGCCGAGAACTTTCTTTCCAGCAGCCCGACACAAATTACTTAATTTGTAGGAGCTGCCGTTGCGGCCTTAAATCCGGTTCGGGATTTGGGACCCTTTTTCATCATGTAATAAAATCCGAAATATACGACCCGAGCGTTGGAAAACAAGTTCCGCCAAATTGTGACCATGGCCATGGATTTCTTGGCTCCATTTGGCTTGCTTTTATTTTCTTTTTCGATGCTTTATGTAAATATTTTTCTCTCTCTTACCTTCTTTTGTGCATTTGCTGTGCTGGCTTATGTAAGCCAATCGAAATGCCCGAACTCGAACATTGTTGCTGGCTTTATGCAAATGATTTCTCAATTTTTGTTTTCATCATTTTTCTTTCCTCGCTTTTGAGTCCAATTGATTATGCATTCGGGTTGTTTGTTTATCGGCTTGTTGTTGTTAATTGGGAGCTCTTTTTTTGAGGGGGAGTTGACCGCAGTAGCTACTGGCTGTGGGTCAGCTAATTATTTGAATTTGACTGAGATTCACCTTTGGTCGGGAGAAGTTTGTGCCCTAAGTCTTTTGTTTTTTTGGATGGTGGAGGAGGGAATTTCCCTGCATATCCGGAAGCTAAAAACTCCGGCAGCATCTTTGATTTGTAAGGCTGGTAGCAATTTTCAAGTTTGTTGCTTAAGTCTTTTGTTGCCTGTGTTCAAAAGAGGGTGTTTCCACCAATATACATACCTTAGTTTCCTTATATTTCCAGAAACATCTTTAATTTGCAAGTTTGTAGTATTAACCTTCTACTTTCTGAAACTGATAGGAATTTTCAAGTTTGTTTGGGTGTTTCCCCCAATATATACACCTTTGTTTCCCTAAATTTCTAGATACATCTTCGACGTGTGCAAGTTTGTAGTAAACCCTTTTACTTTTTGAAGCTGTTAGGAATTTTCAAGTTTGTTGCCTAAGTCTTTTGTTTTTTCTGTGGTCAAAAGAGGTTATTTCCTACAAAATACACCTTAGTATTCCTACAATTTCCGAAGCCTCTTTGATTTGTGCCAGTTTTGTGGTATAAATCTTTTAACATTGAAACTGATAGGAGTTTTCAAGTTTGTTGTCTAAGTCTTTTGTTTTTTCTATGGTCAAAAGAGGGTATTTCCCCCAATATATATAGTCTATAGTCTTACAGCACGCCACGAGTCATTAGCACGAAATTCTCCGCAAGTTTATTGCGCTTATCTAATCGACCGGCTCCAAGCTCACACAATCTTTTGATTAATATTGCTCATACGCCGTGTGTTCCTTTGGCGGTATGAGTGGCGCTAATTGCATAATCGTCAGCACTGGTACAACGTGTGCGATTTGCATGCGATGCTATATATGATATATATATATATTATTATAATAGTATTGCTTTTTGTTATTGCTGTTGCCATGGTCTACACACTACTTCTTAACACCCGACTGCCGCTGGTGTTGACTTAACACATTCGTAACAATTGCGCAGCAGCCTTGCGTATTGAATGCTAATTAACACCTTGTGTGTGTGTGGAGCAGACGTCACAGGTGCCATCTTTCGGCCATCGATTGATTTTGAAACCCTCTTGGCTGCGGTTTACAACGGCACTTACCTTACCCAACTCTCGCGGCTCTAATATGTATATGTCGTCTGTTTTGGGCCAGGCTAAATGTGCCAATGGCATGACACCGATTTCCAACTTAATTCAGCTTCAGCTTTGGCCAAGACGAGCCCAGCTGTTTGACCCACTTGGGCGATGGGTGGTGGGAAAGTCAAATGGGCCTAACCTTTCGTCGTCTTGTGCAAACAATTCGTAATTGCAGATGGTAGCAATTGTAAATAATTGAGCAAATCTATTTTAATTCCACTTTTGGCCAAGAGGATAACCACCGAAAATGGGTGTGGGAGTGGATCGGTGGGGGAAGGGGCTATCAATTTGGTGGTCGCTGTGATTGCCTTTTGATTGCTTAAACAAATGTAAACGTTTAACCAAAGAAAAGTGGGGAAAACACGATAAATATGTTTGGGCTTGTCTTTTGGTAGATACAGTGATTGTTGGCTATAGAAAAAAATAATAGTCTGGGATGTTTACTTTATAAAATACATTCCCATAACTGTTTTATGCTCTCGGAAAGTAGTATAAGTTACCTTGAATATTTATTTTTTTATTATTTGTTTGCGTGTTTGTAAGAAAGAAACATATTACCTGCAAAGAGAATGTTGTATGATGTTCTTTTGATCTTTACAAAAAGATCTTTTATTATAGAAAGCCAATTTTATAAAGAATTTAATATTTAAATTTAAAACCACATATATACATACTTTATTTTGTAAAGAAAATTTCTTTGTTCACTCTTATCTTAATAGTCTCTTGTTATGCATATTAATTTGGCTAAGGAAAATAAATATAGCTTTGTTTACAATTAGTTCAGAGGCATTGTTAGCAGCTGGCAGTTTTCACAGATTTTCTTTTAAGGAGCCGCTAACTCGGATCTGGCATGAAAGCGATTTCGGCCTCTTCTTTCGGCTTTTTGCTAATTTATTAGGCAAGCGTTAGGGTCCCTCCTCCATAATTTAAGCATTTTCCCTCAATTCAACAAAATGCATAAAAATTTCCTTGAGTCGGCGGCTCAGCTTGTCTGGCATTTACTTTATGCGCAACTCATCAGCCGGCGACAAACGGGAGACAACGAAAATGACAACTTTGGCTGAGCTTTTGTGTTGCCATTGTTGCCGCAGTTGCTGATGTTGCAGATGTTGCTGCTGCAGCATTTGCCGCATTAGCCATTGTCTTCGGTCTTTTGCGGGGAGAATTCATTTGTCGTGAATTATGCGTGGCCAGATAAAAGAAAAGTCTTTCGGATTTGAGACGCATAATCGAGTGCCCGAAATGCATCGCATCTGCATACGCAACATCAGCTGCGACTGCAATTGCAACTGCAACCAGTTGCTGCAGCTGCGGTGGCGCATTTAAAATGCATTTATCTCAATTACGAGCAGAAAAGCAACAAATCGCTTGTTTACAACGAAATGGAAACGAAACGAAATGAACGACGCATTGTTTGCGGCAGAAAAAAACTTTCACTGCCGGCGCAAAACTAAAACAAAAGTAATCAAGTTGCGGGCGAGAGGGTTCCAGGGGAGGTATCTCTATATATATATAGCTCCAGAGACCCTTACAGAAAATCCCAGCTAAGTACGAGTATTGTTAATTAAAACAAATAAACCGAAAGCGATTGTAAGATATGCGTAAGAGCTGGCGAAAGAGAAAGAGCCGCAGAAAGCCAGTTTCCGGCGTCCTTCACTCAAGGCCGTTTCCATATGGCAACATCACGCATACGCATTGTTGCCGTCCAATGATGATGATGATGATGATGATGATGGGGCAGCTGCCAGTTAAGTGCAGACTTACGTAACCCGATCCAGGAGTCGGAGGCGGGATGGATTAGCCCGGACTTAGCATGCACTGCCCAAAATGTAAATTGAGTTTTGCAACGGTTGCATCACGATGCGTCAAGCAAAAAAAACCAAACAAAAACAGCAGCTGGCAAAACCAGTCGGGTCGCCAAAAAATATTTCATAACCAACATCCATACATTAAGTGTCCGCAAAATGTGTTAACTATTATGCAAAGCTGTCGATGAGCCGAGTCACGTTTTGGCAGACAGCTTCCTGGTGCATTGGAAAATCGCTAGCCGGCACACCGCAAATCAAGTTCAAAATGTCAAGTTTGCACAAGAGTTAAAGGAAGCGTTCGGCAGAGCGGCAAGTAAGCAAAAAAAAGGCAAAAGCAGCTGCTCTTGTGGTGCTTGAACTCGAAATGAAAGTGAAAATACACCGACTTTGGCTGCAACGCCGCCGAGCACAGAGCGAAAAAGCTGGCAATCTCTTACTTTCAAGGCAGCTTGCTGAAAATCGGCCTCCCAGGCTTTGGAGTCCATACTTACTGGGAATTCTGATCTTGGTCGACTCAAAAATGCACTTACTATGAGGGGAGAAAAAATACATCTTCATTGAAAAATACAAAAAAAACTTCTCACCAAAAAAAATCCATTCTAACTATTAGTTTTGATTTTAGCCAAATTCAGAATTCTTTGTATGAGTAAAGAAAAATCAATTTTAAAAATCTCTTAAGAAATATAGACACTATTAAACACTGATAAAAAGTGTATACTACAAATATATTTATACATGTTCAATTCAAAAGTTTATGTTTAAAAATTTGACTTAAATATAAAAACATAATAATTAGTCATATAACATTTAATGATTTTAGATTCGATACGAGTCATGGTGGTAAAAAATCAAACCGATAAATATTTTACTTAAGTAGGAAATAACTAGATTTAATACCTTTACATAGGGTATTGCATAACAGTTCAGCACTTTAAAATATTTTTTTGATTAATGAAATTAATACAACTGCTTACTACGGAATACTTAGCCTATTATATGTTGTCCAACTTATTCTGCAAGACCTTTGTGTTTTCATTGAAAAAACTTTGCATAAATGAGGTATTTGAAAAATGAATGAGCAACAAAAAATAAATAAGCTACAACATTTAGCAAAGTTTTTAGTTTTACTCTCATTACCATTACCTAGAATATTCTGAATAAAGTTAAAATCTCAATCCCTAATTCAAATGCGATAAAATGTAAACAAATACTGCTTCTATTTTATCAACCAGACCTTCCTAATTAATTTGTTTCGTTATAATGCCGACCTACAAACAATCTTAAAATTTAAGCCAATATACCTTTTAGGCCCCCATAGGGTACTGAACTACACCTTGTGTGTGCCTTTTCTGCGCTTTTCGCTACATTCATTCATTTCCTTCTGTCGTTAAACGTAAAAAATTAGACAGAAAATGCGCAAAAAGTAAAAAAGGGAAATTAAATAAAAACACTGCGAGCTGGCAGCTGCTGATGATGGTTTTTCCAGTTTTCCCAGATGCTTTTATCGCGGCGACAGGTTTCCAAAAACTCAACTGTGTGTGGATTGTGTGACCGAGGAAACGCAAACGCGTGTTGTGTTGTCGTGTGTAGTGTTGCAGTGGCAAGTGCACCTCTGGCAACAACCAGTTTTATGTTTTTTACCTCAAATTGATGATTTAAAATTAATTTGCAAGGCGATTAATGGGAATTTAATGCGCAAAGCGGAGATTATGCCAGGCAAACGAAAGCGCATTTGAGCATTTTAGCATTTACAACCCACACGGGGCACCCACTCTTAATTGCCGAAATAAAACCGGTCTTTCGCCTATCGTCATTCGGTAAATAATAATTTCTGTTTACCCGTTGCAGGCAATTAAGGAAGTGATTCGTGGACGTTGTCGCGATGCGGTGCAGCATGCAACCACTGAAACTCCGCTGTTAAAGCGTCAACAGCAATTGCCATAATTGCCATTGGAGCACAGCACAGACCAATAACCGCTGGACCCACCAAAAAATCCAAAAAAAAACCAAAACAACCCACCAACTCGATCACCATCTCGATCCCATCCCGGCACCCAAACGAAACTCGCCACACGAGCTGAGCGATCGGCGGCAGGCACACAGATTGTGCCGCAAATCCAGCTGAATTGTAACAGAGCCACGGAGCCGCGCCGGAACATTGCGAAAATCGCAGAAATCGGAAAAATCAGAAAAATCGGAAAATCCCAGAGAGCAGGCCGAAAAACCAGTGTGGTGTGGAGATCAATGAACGCGGCACGCAGCTGACAGCATTCGGTATCCACTTTTCCAGCAGCCAGCGGAGCGTAAGAAAAGCGAAACGGACCAGCTTTTCTTGGGCCGGCATTCGTTCAAGTTCAGGCGGTGCCAAGCAGGAAGTGCCAGGCGGCTGCACCTTAATTGGAGCCAGTGTCATTACCACCACCATCACCGGGTAGCCAGGTAGCCAGGCAGCCAGACAACCACCATTCACCGCCGCTCATCCTGCTCGATGTAAGATGTTAGTGGCCAATACGAAGAGCAATCGCAGTAGCCTCAGCACACGCAACAACTGGAGATGGAGCCAGGTGGTGTTGGCCGTTAATCTGTTTGCCTACTGCTGCTGTGTCACGCCCTCGGGTGCCACGCCCACCACGGCGGTGACCACGGCCGCCCTTTTGACCGGTCACCAATTGCTGCCCTGGCAAACTGCGGGGTCGGCGGCGGCCACAACGCCCTCCACCGCCCGCAATCTGTATGCTCCTTACCAGAGCTTCAGCCAGCAGGATGACATAAGCTTCAAGGATCTCCGCCAGCGCAGCGATGGCACAGTGGTGCAGTCCTTCGGTTCCTATCGCACTGCTCGGCAAATGGGCAGCTCCACAGCCCAGAGGAGATCCGATTCCTCCGCCAACTCCCAGGTGGAGATCATACCTGCTCCCTCTGTGGAGCTCCCCCAGAGCGAGCTGATCACAGTGCCCAAGCAGCTGGTGCCCACCATGCCGGAGAATGTAACGCGTCAGGGAAGGAGGCGGAACTACATGTACATACCGCTGCAAACGGAGGGGGAGAATGGATCCGGAGGATCCTCGGCAGCCTTCCTCCAGCTGCGTCCCAGTCGGAATGCCACGCTCTCCTCCCTGGGACCACCAGCAGAGGGAATAGCCGCTGTGGCCCATGAATTTGCCGCCGAACTGGCCACCCAGGGCAGTCCGGAACAGCAACCCCTGGAGCTGGAACTCAATCCAGAGCGCACGGAGCGCAGTGATCTCCTGGCCGCCGCCAGTTCCACGGATAAGCTGGAATATGCCGAGCCGGAGAACACCAGCCGGCGGGTGGGCTTCCAGTTTCCCAGCTACAGCCTGAAGCCAGCCAGTCCCTTCCATCCGCAGGCCTATCGCGAGGATAATCCCATCTTCGGGGAGACCAGTGCCGGGGGCTATGAACCACAGCCTTATAGCGAGGATGCGGCTCCTGTTCCGCCACCCACTCAGTACGAGCAGCATGAGACCAGGCACACCAGACAGCTCTACTTCGATTCGGATTCGGCCTCCTCCAGCTTCGAGTTTCCCGGCCTGGTGAGCAACTCCAAGCCACATGGATTGAAACTTTATCGAGATGATGTGACCAAGTTTGGGGACATCAATGGACCAATTACCGCCTTGCCGCAGCAGAGACCACAGCGGGGCTTTTACTTTGGCGACACCGAGTTCCGGACTGGTCCTCCAGCTCCGGTTAGACAGTTTGGACCGCAGAAGAACTTCCAGGAGTACGTGGGACCCAGCGAGTACCAGGGATCGCGCAAGAGCCGCTACTATCCCTACAAGTCATCGCGCAGTCCTAGGGTCGTCTTTCCCACCAGCGACAATGTGGGCACCACCGGACCCAGTGGCCCCGCCGGCAGCAGTGGACCCTCCGGAAATGGAGTGTACTTCAGCGATAATATTGCTTTTAGGTGAGTAATTTGCACATGGCTTATAATAGGTATCTATATCACCAGTACCATTTATATTGATAATTATTAAAAATATGTTGAATATAGTTAAACATATTGCTGTTCCTAGAATATTTTGTTTTCCTATTCATTTGTATTTCGTTTAAGCATTCTTAAATTTTATAATATAGTTGCTTTACAAATGTTTGAAGGTGTTATGATAAGCCAGATTTAAAATGAGAGATTATAACTATTTAAATATTGAAAGAATATTTGCATTGTAATGTTGTACAAGCCTATGGTAGAGATGTACATTAACTGATTTTATAAGATCATCACTGGACTTTGTTTTTCTACAATATCAATACAGTAACTTAAAATCAGATAGCATTTTGTTAAATATTGTCTTCTCGCTTATGGTTTCCAACTATTTAATCACTTTCTTTTAAGTACCAGATAATAGGTATCGAAGTACACTCAGTGAATCCTCATTCTTAAATGTGATCTCAAATGTTCACAGTTTGCGAGGATACTTTCTTGAAAAAGAAAATAAAGACTCTATAAGATCACTTTCGTGTTGATTTCAAGAACGTTTCTTCTTAAATAAGTGACAGGACGAGTTCTCAAATAGAGATCCCTTGATCATGGCTGTATTCCGCTTGTAATATTACTGTTGAATTTTTATTGGCGATTAGATTATCGATCTCATTCTTGAAGCCTATAGACTAACCATACCATCTTCTCCATCCCGAATAGGGACCAGAACTTTGGCATCAACGAGCTGGCCGCCGTGCAGGATGTGCGCAACGACTACAGTCTGCAGGAGCTGGACAGCGCCTCGGAGGCCACGAGTAGTCCCCAGTCGGCGAGCACCTTCAAGGAGAAAGGTAAGTGCCCGCGCACCCGGCTCGTCCCAGAGACCTCCTCCTCCCCCGCATTTCGGTAGGGCTTAGGAAGGGGCTTCAGTCAGCTGCTGGGAAACTGCTTGCACTAGGCCACGTAACCCCACACCACAGAAACACCCCCATAAGATCGAGAACCCCATGAACACCCATCCAAACACGAGAACATACCGATTGCAACTCCGATTTCGATTTCGATTCCGATTCCCATCCGACAGTCGACATCACAACGGATACGGAGTGCCAGCACCGGGGCGGCACGTGCGAGTTCTTCCTGGGCTGCTGGCTCTCCGGCGGCCTCATTCAGGGGACCTGCGACGGACTGCTGCGCGGCTGTTGCCACCGCACGGCCAAGTCGGCCAATCTGGGCAGCTCGGACTTCGTCGGCAATGCCGTAGATCTCACCGATCTGCCGCAAAAGAACTATGGACCGGTCAACAACGAACCCAGTGAGTGTGGCAGGTGGCAGCCTCAGCTCGAAAGCAAGCCTCCAAACCAAAACAAATCCAATTCAATCCAATCCAATTCAATCCAATCAATTGAAACCAAATTCCAAGCACGTGCACACTAAACCCAAATACCAAATACCGAATATAAAGAAAAAATAGTTGGGAAATAATTTGCATGCCACCTCTAACAATTTACGTATATTTTGTAGTTCGTTTTGTTATGTAGTTATGCACTCGTAATTCGCATTTGTTATTGTTACACTCTTGGTTAGTTTTCAGTGCCTAATTAAGTTGCAATCTTATATTATATTGGATGTATGGAGAGAGATATGAAGGCCTATAACAACGCACGCCACTAAAAATAAAAAAAAACCAAAGCCACCCGCCAAGGAGGCGAAAGAAAGGCTGAGCTGGAACCAAAAAAATATATGTTTAATTGCCCGGCATGAGCATGTTAATTACCACAGCACGCTAATGATAATTAAGCCATATATTACACATAGCTTAACGGCATTACGCTCCAAGCCCAGAGACCAAAACCCCAAATCCCAACCCGACTTAACTCGACTCTAGAAAGCTGATTTGAACCCGGCAGCTGCTTGTTTTTGGCTAACTGCTTGCTTGGTGGTCACCTCAACCCGTTGTTAATGCTTCACTAATCCCATCATCCCAGAAAGCCCCGTCAAGAGGTCCTGGTGCCTGGTACCATCTGATCTGACTACCCTTCTCCTTTTTCAGGCTGCGGCATTTCGCTGGCCAAGCAGACCGCCCAGCGGCGAATCGTAGGCGGCGATGATGCGGGCTTTGGATCCTTTCCCTGGCAGGCCTACATCCGCATCGGTTCCTCCAGGTTAGCATATATACTCCTCCTTGGGGATCGTATTTTATATTTATTATTTTCCCTTTAGATGTGGAGGTTCGTTGATCTCGCGGCGCCACGTGGTCACCGCCGGTCATTGTGTGGCCCGGGCCACTCCGCGCCAGGTGCACGTCACGCTGGGCGATTACGTGATCAACTCGGCCGTGGAGCCCCTGCCAGCCTACACCTTCGGAGTCCGGCGGATCGACGTCCATCCGTACTTCAAGTTCACGCCGCAGGCCGACCGCTTCGACATCTCCGTTCTCACGCTGGAACGCACCGTGCACTTTATGCCACACATAGGTGAGTTCGTCGGGCATATTTAAATATATAATTTATGTTTCGGAAATTAATAATTATAAACAAATAAGTGAAATGAGCAAGACAGACCTTTCTAAAAGTTATACTTTTAAAACCGAGGTATAGGTGAAGAAACAGTCGAACTTCCAGAACCCGAACCCACATTAACTTATTTGAAATAAGTTATTTTATGCACTCCTTTCTTCGTTAGTCAAAAATCCAATAGTGCTCTTATTTATCTAGAGTTTGAACAAAATGATTGTCTTATATGCTCACTAAATGTGTAGTTTTGTTTGCTTTCCTGAATGACAAAAATCTAATTGGTTCGATAACTACAGCAGTAAATGCTTCGAGTTCTTCCGAATCGGACCACTTAAAGAATTCACGCCTCCAAGAGCCCTTGGACTTGATAAATATACCAAACTCTATAAAAATGTATAACTACAAATTCTTTTCTCTTACTCTTTTTAACTCGAAGTTTTTACCTGACTGTTTGAGGTTCAAGTTATGAAAGTTCGAATGTTTTGAAAATATTAAAAACCACTAATTAATTAATTGTTTTTAGCTCCCATTTGCCTGCCGGAGAAGAACGAGGACTTCCTGGGCAAGTTCGGTTGGGCCGCCGGCTGGGGAGCCCTCAATCCGGGCTCTCGGCTGCGTCCCAAGACGCTCCAGGCGGTGGATGTGCCCGTGATCGAAAACCGGATCTGCGAGCGCTGGCATAGGCAGAACGGGATCAACGTGGTCATCTACCAGGAGATGCTGTGCGCGGGATACCGCAACGGGGGCAAGGACTCCTGCCAGGGAGACTCCGGAGGACCCCTTATGCACGACAAGAACGGGCGATGGTATCTGATTGGTGGGTGTTGTATATAACTAGAGTTATATATCCCTATAACTTATACCCATTGATCTCCTGCAGGTGTGGTCTCCGCCGGCTACTCCTGTGCGTCCCGGGGACAGCCGGGAATCTATCACAGCGTCAGCAAGACGGTGGACTGGGTATCCTATGTCGTCGGACTCACGATGAACATCTAGAGGGCGACACTAATTTATTCTCATCGCATTCGCATTCGCACCTGCCTGCTAAGTGGGCCCCAGATTGTTTTGTACATAACTCACTTCATTCTGCTCCCGACTCCGCTTCCGATTCACGCCGACTTAATTTATGGTTACACAATATAATCTATATATATATATAATTATAAATAATAATTTAACAAATTAGCGCAGTACAATTTAGCAGTTAGGACTGATTGGCTGTGTGTGTCTGCAAGATACACACGTGTGCGATATATTTGCAAACACCCTAAAACCTTTAAATTAATTATATCTGATAATTACGGCCTAATTTACTTAGTCATATGCGCTGTTATGTAATTTTAAAACTATTTATGAACTACATTTCGTGTGTAAATAAATTATACAAAAGTTGAAATGAATTCGAACCCGTTTCAAACGTTTATTAATCGTACAAACGAAGTCCAAATGTCACTTTTTTTGTTTTTTGATATTCGTTGCTGTTGTAGTTGCTGTCTGGGTGTGGGTATTCTGGAGATTACTTTTGGATTGGCAGACGCGGCAGATAGACCTGCTGATAGGGAAGCCCAGCCGCGGTCCATGCGTGCTCGGCATCCTGGTAGTAAAGCCCGCCCAAGGCCCCCTCCTTCGACTGCTGCTCCATCACGCGGAATAGGGTGAAGACCTCGTGGTAGATCTTGTAAAAAATAACTGTGGGAATGGATTTCTATAGAGAGTGATATACTTGGGCATATAGGAGACCCACCCAGCACAAGGGTGAACACCAGAAGACACATTAGAAAGCTCGACAGGTCAATAAACAGGCCTGCGGTCGCATAGAAAACCCCCAAATAAAGACCAAAGCCAAAAATAACGCCATGATAGATCAACCAGGGGTACATCAAGCAACTTGAGTCCTGTAAAAGAGGGCTTGTTATGTTTTTTAGTTTCGAAAAGGTTTTTTGAATTCGATTTGACTTTAAACCTTTATTAAACCACTCCAATCATATTAGAAATGTCGTAATTAATTAAATACTTTTATCTATAAATAAAGTATTAACATTTGTGCAAATCGAATTCGAGTTAAATATTTCCAAAATAAAAGGCGACTGTATGTGAATTCGGGTGCATGCAATAACGCCCACGTTTAGTTTATTTTGTAATCCCATCGTATTATTTTCACTGGGCGTTATTGCATGCACTCTGTGAATTTATGTTAATGTTGTATAACTCTAAAAAATGCCTTTTTCTATTAAAATAAATAATATTCAATCGTTAACGGTAATGATTAACTAATGTCAGAAATATTTTGATTTTGTTTTTTGAATTCTTGCACCTGTATACCTATACATCTGACTTTAAGACCCTTCAAAACGAAAGTCTCTATACAAAATATCTGTGATAAGATTTTCATCTAGACATTGTTTTAAAGATACATTTAAAATGGAACTAGGCATGGATCTTACGTTTTTTACATGAACATGATACCATCGTTTTATTTCACTTACTCGGGCGATACCTATTAGCAGCAGCAGACTGACTCCCATGTTGATCAACGACATTCCGTAGGCAATGGAGCTAAAGATGGTCAACACTGGGGACAAGTGATCAAAATTAGCTAGTCCCAAGGCTGATTCCCAAGATCTAGAAGTACTCACAATTGATCAGTAGCTGCTGATCTGTAACCGGGATCAAGTTCAAGGGCCACTGGTTGAGCAGCAGCTCGATGTCCGCCCGCAAGTGGATGGTCAGGACGGAGCTGCCCAGGATCACGCTGGAGATGATCACGCCCAGCCAGCCGAGGATGATGACATTGTACTTGAGGTTCTGGCACTGCACATACGAGATGGTGTGGCTGGCGGCCAGGGCCACGGCGGAGGCCTTGCCACCAGGATGCGACGGATCGTTGGGGGCCATTGATACCGTTCGTTGGAAGCCAACCTAACGTGCTTTTTGCCGGAATCTGTTTCGGAAGTCCGTTTTGGGGATTTGCCTGTGTTGCTGTTGATGTGTTTGCAACAGAACAAACAACGATGTACTGAAAGTCAGAGTGCTAACTGTCAGGGAACAGGAAAACTTAGGATCGGGGCCTGCTGGATGTTTTGTTGAATGAAAATATTTAAAAACAGTGAAATTTGAAAATGGAAACTTTGTAAATGGACATGGTCTATACATATAATAATCCTGAAAGCTAGAAAAATTAAATTTGAACTAGAAGAACCTGAAATGGGGCATAGCTCGTTGCTATCAGTACTTGCAGATTTTATAACCAGTCTGTAGTCAACCCGGGAACTCTAATGTATTATTTAAGGGGTTCGTATAAAGGCAAAGTTCTTATCTTCCCCAGATATGTCTTACTATGTTAAAAGCAAATCGAAAGTTAGAACAATAGGTAATAATTTACAGTCACACCTATCTTATGTATATATTATGATATGATATATCATTAAATCTGACTGAAAATATAATGGAAAGACAAAGCTGCTTGTTTTTTAAGTCTTAAAAATGAGTTTTCACTTTCCTAGCCAGAGATACTTAGGAGTGTGCCACTTAAGAACCCTATTTAATATGCTAATCCCCCCGAAACCTCGCCCAGCTGGCGACAAATTAGAAAGTTACATAAATGAGTGTGTGGCCCCCATTTCGGCTAGTGGTTCTCCTTTGTCTAGATGGCCTAACCCAAAAACACTTCGGATTGTTCCCATTCCATGGAAAGATGGCAGCGGTTGTTGCAATTATGTCGCATAAAATAATTATAACAGACTGGGAGAACATTTCCTGCGCCGCTGGCGGCGTCATCAGCATTTCGTAATAATTAGTAGAGATGAAGAAGATCAGAAGCAGCAACTGTAGCAACAGCAACATCCACTCAACCCAGCAGCAACATCAACTGGCGACAGCAGCAACACAAACAAGAACCAAGATCAACCTGTTGCTGCGTCTTTTCTAATGGCGTGAAGTTAGTTTGCGTTTGGCCAGCGGCGCGTGCGGTTGTGGCATATAACACCATCTCTCATTTCGCAGAACAGTTCTCGGTATCATCGCGGAAAATGTGTGAATCTCGGGTGCGTGGCTGCTGGGAAAAGGAAAACTAATGGAAAACTGTGCCATCCCGAGAATTGGCACAGTTCCCATTATGATGGTTATATAAAAATCCATTAGCCAGCCCGACTACACACCATTTGCAAGCGACCCGAAACTTGTTCGCCTATCAAGGACACAGATCTCGTGGAGCTCCGGAGCTCCGTGAGTCACCCAGACAGGCCAGGCCCATAAAGAGCAGCATCTTCTGGTGGCAGTAAAAGTGGAGCAGCAATAATAGGAAATGTAAGAAGAAAACGGCAGAAGCCAGCTCGAAAAGTGAATAAGAAATTGTCATGCTTTCATTGGCAACAAAAGCGTTATAGCCCATTCCGATGGAGTGAAGTGAAGTGCGAATTGTGACCCCGAATTCAGAACTTCAAGATGCAGCTGCTGCTGTGGCTATGCGTGATCCTCCTGCTCCTCTGTCACTTTGTCCCCAGCCAAGCTAGTGAGTATAAGGTATTGATTGGATGTATCCCAACTTTATGTAATCCCGAATCCCCGCCAGATATTCTGAACACCCTGCTGGGCGTGCCCGCGGAATGTGTCCACCAGAGCGGCGTTTGGCCCTGCAAGCTGAGCTTCTCCTGCTGGCTGCAAGGCGGCAAGCACGCCAAGGGATGTGGCAGCAACAAGTGGCTCTTCAGCTGCTGCGTCTCCGATCCGCAGAGCCAGCACCTGCACCACTCCCCCTCCCCGCTGGCCAATCTGGTGGACTACGGCCAGCTGAAGCTCAATCTGAACAGCCTGCCCAAGCGGATCATGCTGCGCCGACGTGACGACAACGAGCTCCTCAATCTCAAGGTGGGTTCGGCAGCCGTAATTGAGCCGTTGCAACCGCAGAGCGGGATAATTGAGCAATTTCACTTGACAGACGGGCAGGATTTTGCCAATTAGAGCTAGAATAGGGATAGCTACACAGTTCCAGGGGTATTGCATATCATGTTCAGACTTTATTAGATAAAGCTGTGTGCTTAGAAGTGTTGATATCATGAATATAGCCAACAAGTCAACAATTGGAGCACTTTTTAAAGAATATCCAGGGATTTCTGAATTTCTTGAACAAAGTAAAACATTATTATTTTATACATTGAATAGTAAGTAAATAAAGAAACCCAATTCCCAGTGATGTTTTTGAGGCTAGAGGTACAAGTACAAAATATTTCAAAAAAAAAGTAATATTATTCATGTCATAAAGGCTTGATAATGCAAATATCAAGGTAATATTAATTTTATATTTTTCCGCTATTTTTGGCTTAAAGAAGAGAGAAGAAGCATAAGCCGTAATTAAAAACCACGTGCTAATTTTGAATGTCAAATTAAATTTTTTTAGCATTTAAACTATATGATTAATAAATATTATTAAATTGATATTGACCTAATTTTTGTTGTGCGTCAGAAAGACAAAATCCATTGGAATGCATAACACTATAGACAAACGGAAAATCGAATGTATTAAATTTGGTTTTGTAGGTAAACCAATTTTTATGTTAAAAGCAGTAAAATGCGGGCCTTGCTAATTTTTTTTTAAGGTCAAAAAGGGAAGGTATAGGATACAAGTCTGCAAAGCTTGGGATATTAAGAATACCGATAAAGATATATCACAGATCCTATCTTAAATAGTTCAATAATATCAACTTGGATGCTAATTATAATTGCTTATATTTATTTTACTAAATATTTTTCAGCCCGAATGTGGATTACCCCGAACGGCGCAGAACACTTTGCAAAAGCGCATCATCGGCGGTAGACCTGCCCAGTTCGCCGAGTACCCGTGGCAGGCGCACATCCGCATCGCGGAGTACCAGTGCGGCGGGGTGCTCATCTCGGCCAACATGGTGGCCACCGCCGCCCACTGCATCCAGCAGGCCCAACTGGCGGACATCACCGTCTACCTGGGGGAACTAGACACCCAGGATCTGGGCCACATCCACGAGCCGCTGCCCGTGGAGAAGCACAGCGTGCTCCAGAAGATCATCCACCCCCGCTTCAACTTCCGCATGACCCAGCCGGACCGCTATGACCTGGCCCTGCTCAAGCTGGCCCAGCCGACGGCCTTCACGGAGCACATCCTGCCCATCTGCCTGCCTTCATATCCCATCCGGCTGATCGGACGGAAGGGACTGATCGCCGGGTGGGGCAAGACGGAGGCGCACATGGGCCACGCCGGCACCAACATGCTCCAGGTGGCCAGTGTTCCCATCATCAGTGAGTGGAGTTGGTTGGTCTGCTCTTCCCCGAATCTAATATTATCCATTTTAGCCACCTTGGACTGCGTCCGCTGGCACGAGAGCAAGCAGATCAATGTGGAGATCAAGGCGGAGATGTTCTGTGCCGGCCATTCCGATGGACATATGGATGCGTGTTTGGGTGAGTTCTATGCTAGATACCATCCAATTTCTATAAGGGGGATGTTGGAACACTAGTACTTTCACAGTCAACTTAACAGAATTGTATTATTTGTATATTAGAATTTTGTACAAAACTAAAATTTTTAGAAGAAGCTACTAGGGCCTTTCTTTATTACTACTACAGGGTTTAAACCATTTTTAATTTGCGGCAAATATCAATGCATACTTTTGGGCTTCACTTGAATAGATTGTTGTTTAATTTAAACTTATTTAACTAACTAGATGTTTGGCTTATCTTTTTAATTTTAATGTGCAATAGGCAGTATTTTGCTATTTTCGATACTATTAAATTAATATTTATACTAATTTCTAGTTTTGGTGAGTTTTTAACATTGGACCGAAATTCTGAGCAGTTACACAGTTCAAGTAATTAGCCCTTAATTTTACTTAAACAAGTATTTTAACATTTATTACTTAATGATGTACACACCTTCTTCATCGTACGAATAACGCTTGTACAAATAAAGTATATAAAGTATAAAAGTCTATGGGAATTAATCAACAGTACCTAATATAATCTAGAACAGTGAACCAAAAAGCTATTAACCAAAGTTAGTTCAGATGTGTATGGTAAAAAAAATATTTTATTATTATTAATATTTCTTAACAAATTTTGGAAACACATCAGGTAACTTATAAATTGTATGACAAAAGCATACAGTTTTTATAAAAAAGTAAAGTAGCTTAACTTCTTAAGTCTATGTTAACAAGATCGATTAAAAATACACTTTGTAATATTTCCTTAAAAAATTATAGATTGATTGATTTTATACCCTAAGTTTCATTATATTGATTGTATCTTTAAGAACTCTTTTAAATTAAAGTCGCATGTTTTTTATATTTTCCAGGAGACTCTGGAGGTCCTTTGGTGATCAAGGAACGCGGACGCTTTGTGCTCGTGGGCATAACCAGTGCGGGCTTTGGCTGCGGAGTAGATCATCAGCCAGGTGGGACTAGGAACTATCCAAAATCTATAACTAATCAAATCAAATTTATGCAGGCATCTATCACAACGTTCAGAAGACTGTGCGGTGGATCCAGGAAGTGGTGACCCGCAACGAGTTATAGCCGCAGACGACCCTGGGCATCCCCTCCGAACCTTTGGCAATGCAACCCATCTCATTAGTTTACGGCTCGTAGCATTAGGCAATGGAAGTGTGCAATCCTCCGCCGGAGACGCAATATTTATTAGATTTAATAAACAATACAATTAGCTGAGTGTAATTGCGTTTGCCATTTGGGGAAGTGGGCTGAAGACCGCACGACCTTGAAAGCCACCCGCTGCCAAGAAAGAGAAAACAAACGGGCCTCTTGTTGGGTTATGTCACTGGTTTTGGCCTATTTGGTGGAGTGCCACAAATGGCACAATCCAATCCCTAACTGCCAGGCGGTAATTTGTACATTAGGCACATTAAGCCCAGGCAGCCTGCTTTTTGGTTGCCCAATGCTGTTGGTTGCGCAGTGCAATTGCGGCTGCTGCAACGTGTAGGAAAATAAATATAGGTACATACCCCTGTGGGCGGTGGCAATGAAATCGAAAATGTGTGTCATCGAATGGCTAATAACCATTGGTCGGTAATCATGGGCTCGAAAGCTTCTTTGGGCCGAAAGTAAATGTCACGCTTGAGACGCAGCTCGATGCCGCTGAATGGGGATTTTCCGGCTGCAATTTGTGCGGCAATTGTTGGTTTTGCTAAAACACCAATTTGTGTGTTGTGTTGGGGGAAAACGCGACTTCCTCTTGGAAGTTGGAGCCGAAGTTGGAGAGGAGCGAGTGGGCAAAGAAATTGGATATTAGTCATGGCGACAATAGCAACATGCAATTGCCAGTTGCCAGTTGAGCGACAAAACTCGTTGTCTTGGCCACTTTCGTTTTCAATGCGGGTCTCTCGCCGTCTTGGCCAGGCTTTTCTCTTGGTTTTGGCCCTCTCTTTGGTGACTATTACTCAATAGTCGGTGCTCGGCTCGCTGCGTACCGCTCACCAGCCAGTCAGTCGGCGGTGTTGATGGCATTTTGATTTTGAATTTGTCAGCCAACTGTTTATTAAGTGTTTCGACGCGACGGCACACTGTTCGCGAACTGCGAACTGCGCCGAAACCGCAGGAGAAAAAAGCGGAGTGAAAAATACTAAAGATACACTCTGAATTATTGCCAAATCGGCCGAGCGGAAGGTGGAGAAAATTGTGAACTAAATTCCCTTTTGCTGCTGCTATGCAAACGAGGTGCGATTATTCAATCAAAAACTCGCGCCGCTACGTGAATTAAGTGAAACACAATTGCAGAAATCAGTGACAGCAGCAGCAACCACAAGCGTAAAGTGTAAACACCAACGAAAGTATTGCAAAATGCCGCAGCAACTGCTGATGTTGCTGCTTGCAACTGCCGCTGCAACTGCAATTGCAACTGCTGCTGCTGCCGCTGGCCACAGCAACTACAATTCGGTTTACAACGAGGTGATACCGCCGGAGCTCAAGCAGGCCATTGATAAGGAGCTGCCCAAGGAGGCCAAGTTCTTCGATGAGCTGGACTGTGAGTATTGCCGCCGAAAATGCCCCTCCCCTGCAGTCAAGTCAAATCGAGTTCGTTGCCTAAGTCTTTCGTTTCGGATGGCCCAATTTGCATATTAGTTAACACGCCTTGCTTAACCTTGATCTTCGCTGCTCATTTTCGCAGCCAATTCGAAAATAGGGAGAAAATCGGAGTTGGACCCCAGGGGAAAGTTGAACATTCCGTTCTTGGGCAGCCAATTCATCTTGTTTAATTGGACTTTCCAAAAAGAAAGACACGAAAGCCAATTAAGCTTTAGGTGATTACACATTAACATAAAGGCACAAAACTGCGAGATTCAGATCCCAAAAGAAAGCCCGCGTTTTTCGGCCAACAGTGAATGACTATTAAAACGCTGGCCAGCCGGGCGAAATATGATAAATCAAATACCTGATTGTAGAGTGTGTGTGTGGCGGCTGCACAAGTTCAATGGCAGCTGCTGCCGCCACGGATATATGTAATACGAGTATGGGTATGAGTATGAGCCAAAGCCAAGCAAAAGCAAAAGTGTTTCCAGATACCGATACACACAGACAGGAAAATCAACTGCAATTAACTTCAATTGCACACTCGCAGCATTCGAAAGTGTTAACAGCAATCGCCGTGATTCGGCCATTTTCCCAAAGATTATAGATTATTTGGCTTTTGGTTTGGCTTGGCCTTTTATGTAAGCAGAAACCTTGGCCAAAAAAAAGCACAACAACAAACAGACCAAAAGAAACAAAAACCCAATTGAAATGGAGCTCGGCTTGGAAACATGTTGCCGGTTGGCTGGCAACATGGCTCAAATAAAGTTGCTCTACAAGTGAAATGCCTGAAATCTCTCTCTCTGGAAATCTCCTCGTGTCTTCGGCTGTCTTTCGGCGATCGCAGCTCGGCTTTTGGCCTGGCCAACACAAAAGCTTGGCTTAGTTCTGAGCCGATTTTCCCGACGCGCGGTCGCCTTTCCGTTTGCTCTCGCTGGCCAAAAGACTGTGTGCGCATGCGTAAAGAAAGATAATTCCAGGGGGCATAAAAGTGAAGCGAAGATAACGATTTTCTTTTTTCGGAGCGGCGAAAGAAACTGCGCATGCGTGAAGCGCCCAATGAAATTGAAAGTGAAATCCTTGGTGAACTAGTGGCAGGACAGCCAGAGCAGCTCCGGCTGAAAATCAATCATAAGCCAAGAAAGCGAAAGTGCAACTACCCCAATCGAAAGTGAAAGTGCGCGTGGAGCAACCCTCCTATTGAATCCAGTCCTTTCACTTGCCATGCTGCCACTGCCCAGGCACTCCAAGGACACCTGGCTAAGGTTGGGGGTCCTCATGGTATCCCTGATATCCCCCCTGATAGCCTCCAAAGGAGCAGATGCCCTGGGCTATCCCAGTGCCCAGCAGGAACACGACATGCTCATCCTGGACGCCCTGTCGCGAAGAAGTGGCACTGGTTACTATGGCGAGAACAGCGTGATGGAGATGCTTTCCCGAAGTACTTACAGCCGAACAATTTGACTTGACTCAGACCCAAACCCCAGCCCCATCTGACCCCCTCACTAATTCTTTTACCCCACCGCCCCTGTCTTTGCAGTGATACCGCAGTCGTGCCGCTTTCGTGGCCACAAGTTCGAGTGCGGCCTGTCCATCTCATGTGTCTTGGGCGGCGGCAAGCCCCTGGATCTCTGCTCCGGCGGCATGATCTGGTCGTGTTGCGTGGACAAAGACCTCGACGCCGAGGAGAGTCCGCATGCCGCCCCGGTTAACAACACCAGTGAGTATCCCCCCATACCCATCCCCCATCCCCCAGCCCACCATTCCCATTCCGATTACCAAAAACCCAGACAAACAGTTGATTCTGAAAAACATTTCGCCTGCTGCTTTCCCCGCGCCATTCCCTTGCAATTGCAAATTGCTGCGCTTCGAGTTATGCAACTCGGTTTCGTATAATAGAGCTATAAATTAGCTTGCATTTCGAAAATGACAACAAATTGCCCTGCTCACCAGCACACGAGCAAGAGCCTTTGGGCCTGGTCCGGGGAAATACAACTAAATAGCGCAGAACCAGTTATTCCAAGTGGAAAAGGTACCCTATATATTTAAATATAACAGCATATATTTTGGGGTCTTAAGCTACTTAATCATGAAAGTATACTTAAATGGATTTACCTTTAAAAGCCAACCCAATTTTAGACATGCAGATGAATTTAAATATGCATGCATTTTAAAAATCTAGAAAATGTGGATAAAGGTTACAAAGTAAAATGTTATGTTCAGAAAGTTTTTTAGGTGTCTGACATGTTTGCATGTTATCCAATACCATAATATAATATATAATAATATTCTTAAAAACAACTAAGAATGTTTACATGAAAAAAGTCCTTAAGTGTTATTTCAATATAAAAACTGTTTACTTTAAAGAACTGTCGAATTCCAATTGTTTTATAGTCAGTATTGTTATATAATTTGAACCATTAGGGAAATATTATAATTAACTAGTTGTTTTACATAAGAAAAATACTTTTGGGTACATGGAATTCGAGAAAATACTGGAATGTGAAAACCAGAACAGGTTTAATTTACTTTTTATCACATGACTAAGATCTTTCAGAAATAATTTACGAAGGGTTTACATTTAATTGGACATTGTTCTTTAGTAAAACTCAGTATTTCTTCATGATGACCCAAAAATGGGGAAATACTTAAAAGCAGGATCCAAATGTAAAAGAGCAGCTTTCCGCTTTTATAACGATGTTTGAAACTAGACAATCGTTAGTTGATTTGTTTTTTATTCGTTTGTTTCTATATAACTGATGTTCATACGTTCACATTCCAAAAACCAAGCTGATTCGCTGGTTTATGGATCAATTGGTTCGGCATCAAGTGCATTGGTTATATCGTAATCGCATTAACCAATTACCAATTCGGCAATAGCTGCAGCTAGAAGGCCTAGGAGAATCGCAGGCCACTTATATTATGCCACAAACGCGTGCGTTTGGCCCACGAAGTTTGTTTATTCGGCTACTTCGAGTGGCTGTTTTTCCTCTTCAGCTGTTCCGCAGCTATTTTGTTGTGCTCTGTTTAGTTTTCTAGATTTCTGCCTTCACGTTACCAACATAAAAGCAAACCTGAACAATAACCAGGCATTACAACATGTTATGAATAATTCTTGGTGGAAAATTTTATTTTCCACCGCCGCTTTTCGGACGCACATCAATCTTGGGGCTGCAACCTTTTCTTTTACCGCAATTTAACTTAATTTTGAGAGTTTTTTCCCCACTTTTCGGTTGAACATTTCCTCAAAGCCCATAAAGAAGTGGGTTCTGCGTGCTTTCTTTGGTAGTTCATGTGTGAAGTTTTCCCAAGCCGTCTGGCGACAATGATAAAGCCGAAAAGCGGAGTCAACCCCGAAATAAGCAAAACTCAAAGAGTCACTTGCGGAAATAAACGAAGGTGAACGTTTTCGCATTTAAAAGTGAAATTTTTGGTTTTCTTTCTTTGTTTTAAATTCGAAGGGGTCCATACCCCTCCGACCCACACAGGGTTTTATTATTTTGTTTGCTTTCAAATGTGGGAAAAATCACAGCGCCAAAGTTACGGCATACTTGAATCGGGCCGAGCTCCTCGAAAGTGTTAATCAAGTCTTGACGATGACGCCGTTCTGTGCGTCCCCCGAAATGTCTTTCGGATTGGTTTGAATTACGTGCGAAACACCCAGTCTTTGTCTTAATGGCCAGACCGACCAGTCTGGGGACAACTGACATAATCGCGGTCGTGTCTGGGGTCTCACTTTTTATTGTGATTGCTGGTCGGTCACTTTTTGGGGGAAAGTCTGACATCGACCTGCGGAGTCTTTGACCATCAGATCATCAGACCATCATCCTGAATCACGATTCTCACACACAGGCGACATAATACACTTGCATGACATTTATCCCGACCTGGCGACGAATGCCAACAAGCCGCAGCACCACCTGCACCAAAGCCACCACCACAGTGGCAACGGCCTGTCAGCGGCCCCATCCACCTCATCCACGGCTTCCTCCGCCGCACGACCGGCTTACCCCAGCAGCAGCTACTACGGCACCAAGCGACCCACCCTCTACAGCGGTTCCAATCCCTACAAGCCGGGCGGATCCAGTGGAGGATCCAGCCGCCCATCCTCCTCCTCCAGCCTGAACAGCTGGGAGCACGAGAACGGTGGCCATCTGGGCTCCGTCAATGGGATCACCAACCACCTGGACAGCTTTTTCGATGCCGAATCCCCGCAGCAGTTGGACCCGCCTGGAGCACCACCATCCCATGAGCCACTGCCCAATGCCCAGGCCTTTGCGGTGGGCAATGTCTTGGACTTGAATGCTGGCGAGGCAGCGGAGGAGTACCAAAGCGGTGGCTACCACGATGCCAGCTATCGTCCAGTGCCCGGTACAAAGCAACACTCTACAACACAATTCTCTCTTCTCTGGCACCTCTGCAATGGGTTTTCCTTTAAGCTGCACCACCACTCTCACGCTGTCACCTTTCACCTAGATCTCCTAGATTCTGTAGCTCTTTTCTTAACTTACTTTGGTGTTTTTAGGGCTATCTATGAGGTTAACTTTGTTATAATTGATATATTTCTTTATCCACAGGCTGCGGCGAGGTCTACACCCGATCCAATCGCATTGTGGGTGGCCATTCCACGGGCTTTGGCTCCCATCCTTGGCAGGTGGCTTTAATTAAGAGTGGATTCCTCACCAGAAAGCTTAGCTGCGGTGGTGCATTGATCTCCAATCGATGGGTGGTCACGGCAGCCCATTGTGTGGCCACGTAAGTGTAGAAATAAATCACTGGGGCTTGGAAATCACTTCCAAAAGTCATTTAGGTGTCTGAAATTATGCAGATGGCTATATTTCTAAATGAATGAAATGTATTTCTTAGCTTAATAAATATTGTTGCATACTTTTAGACACCTAGCAGTGTAAGTTTGTGTATAACTTATACTTATTTCCCTTTCAGCACCACCAACTCCAACATGAAGATTCGCCTGGGCGAATGGGATGTGCGTGGCCAGGAGGAGCGGCTGAACCACGAGGAGTATGGCATTGAGAGGAAGGAGGTGCACCCCCACTACAATCCCGCCGACTTTAAGAACGACGTAGCGCTGATCCGTTTGGATAGGAACGTGGTCTATAAACAGCACATCATACCCGTCTGCCTACCACCCTCGACCACCAAATTAACGGGCAAAATGGCCACAGTGGCTGGGTGGGGGCGAACCCGACATGGCCAGAGCACAGTGCCCTCGGTGCTGCAAGAGGTGGATGTGGAGGTGATCTCCAATGATCGATGTCAGCGATGGTTCCGCGCGGCCGGAAGACGAGAGGCCATCCATGATGTGAGTTGTCCAGGGGTTCGGTTGTGAAAATAATGATATTGATAGTTTCCTATCTTCCAGGTCTTCTTGTGCGCCGGCTACAAGGATGGCGGGCGAGATTCCTGCCAGGGCGACAGCGGCGGGCCGCTAACGCTGACCATGGACGGGCGGAAGACCTTGATCGGGCTCGTGTCCTGGGGCATCGGCTGTGGGCGGGAGCACCTGCCCGGCGTCTACACCAACATCCAGCGCTTCGTGCCCTGGATCAACAAGGTCATGGCCAATGACAACGCGTAGGCGCCACTGCAACAACGCAGCACGGAGATGCATCCCGTTAGCCAGGCCATGTGATTCCTCTACGACTCGGGGTTGCTAGTGTTTAAGACCAAGGTCCTCTGTGGGCCTTGTATTTATTTCACCCATATTCCATCTCCCAGGGATCCCTGCCCTTAACTCACTTCGATACTATCGCCCTTCATTCGTTTCTCATTGCATTACACGCATTCGATTTAGGCTTTCCATATTTATTATACACTGCTCGACGAAAGATTCCTACATTTGAGATCCACTTTCATGTATGTTTATATTTATAATCTTAATTATGTTTTAAAATACAAATAAAAAGTATTACAATTTTAAACGAGTTTTAAAATATACTTTTATTCTTATAATACCATTAATATTCAGTTATAATATAATCAGCAATTAAATTTAATTCATATTCGCGGGAATACTAACGTGGATATATTCTCTAATGACGGTAATTGGTTTTTATGGGATGTACCGATTATGTTCACAAAAATATTATAGAAGGATATTGAGAAATGGGGTGGTTAAAAGATGGACCATTTCTAAGAAAGCCCTTTCTTATCGCCAAATACTGAGGAATTGATTCTTGGTTAGTATACGAGTATTTGTAAAAATCCTATTATTTCAAATAATTATTTCGCTAATTTGGATAATTATAGTTAAAGGATTTCTTATTAAGAATTTATGTCATTGCCCAAAAGTATGCTCTGCAAAATAGATATTTATAATACATTTTCCAGGCTCGCTAAGAAGTATGTTTTGAATACGTAGAAAATAGACTGCATACTTTTAGACAGCATCCCAGCCATGTCAAACAAAATATTTCGAAATAGATTGGAATCTGTGTTTATCTTTCTTGGCAAACAAGAAACACAGGCAGCAAACATCAGCCAGAAAGGCACAAAAGACACGAACAACAAACAGAGATATCTATTTGGGCCGAGATAAGTTGGAAGGTCCAAACTCCTAAGATTAAGTAACTGGGTCCATGCAACAGGTGCCCGATACAGAGTGCCGATCATGAGCTGAATTCCTAATGAGGCCAACTTCCGCTGGCCACTAACCACTAACCAATATCATCGCTGGGCATCTTGTGGATTCAATAACATAATCAGGGGGAGAGACCTGGTACCCCGGGAAGGTAGTTAATGAAGGAGCTTATCAGCTGCTCTCTCTGGCCATTTGTATCTCCGTCTCTGCGCTCTTAGCATCCACATTGGCATCCACTTCTTCGGGAAGTTGACCAAAGAACCGGGGATCGCTTGGATTTCCAGTCCTCAGTCGCTGTGGAGCAGCGCCAGTGTCAAGGTCTCTCGAGTTCAAGGAACGGCCAAAGACACGCGTCATCGCCCAGTCAGTCGGTGGTGGATAGTGGATATTGGATATTGGATGTTGGATATTGGATGGTTAATTGTGCGTTTTGTTTTGCCTGCTTCATTAAACAAAGACGCGATTTTTGTGTGATTTATAAGTGGGTTTTCTTTGGCAGTTAAATGGCCTTTTCATCAGCCCTAATGATGTGTGGCTCAGTGTTTTTAATGGTCTTGGCATAATTTATAAAGCAAATACAATCCATTGCAAGGAGAACAAATGCTAGAAAGAAAGTGTTTTTAAAGAGGTTTTTTATAAAGTGTTTGTTTTCTCAGAAATACTTAAGATTAAAAGTAGTTTACCTGAGGCTTGTGTTACCAATTCTTCAAAATACAAGAAGCAACCATGCAATTCTTATCAGCCAACTGGTTTGTAAACTCCAGCCCAACAAAGATTGACTTTCTTAACCTGACGACGTGCATAAATTAAAACACAAACAAACGGCGGCCCTCACACTCACACAGGTGACAAAGAATGGCAAGTGGGAGCAAAAACAAACTCATTTGCACCACAAAAATATTAAAAGAAAAGGCCAGCTTTGAGTGTTTGTGTGTGTGTTTGTTGGCCGCTCTGTTGTCTTCTGCTTCTTGCTATTTTAATGTGAAAGCGCTGTTAGCCCGAAACCCCTCAAAACCCCACCCCCCGCCAAACACCTTTTGCCGCCAATCAGCTGTGAGCCGCCTCAAAAAAAAGAGAGAGGTGGCCAAAAGAGAGAGAGGTTGATTTGAATAAGAAACAGAAACAGAAAAAGCGCCTAGCTTTTGGCCGTTCTCGGTGTTGGCCTTAATGGAAACCGTTATGCGCGTAGCGCAGTCGACGTCGACTGCACGCATGCGCATGGCTTTGGCTTTGGCTTTGCCTTTGCTTTTGCCTTTAAGCCGGAGCGAGCGAGAGAGTGAGCTTGCCGACTTACCAATTTCGCCTTACCAAGTTCTTCAGCTCTGCCGGCGTGGCCAAATCTCAGTCGCAGCGGGCAGAGGCAGCGACTGCGGCAGCGGCATCGTCTACACCTGGTTTGTGGATCTTTTGTGTGAGCTCCACTCGGCAGACGTGCGCAACTTGTCGCGCTCTTAACTTGGTCTTCTGCTCGTCTTCCGTCTTCCGCGACTGCCTGTGCGTTGTGTGTGTTTGTTAGCGGGGCCCAAAGCATTATTAGTGTGTGTGAAATAATTGGCCTGACCCAAAGTCCCGAGGCAAGTTCAAGTGCAAGAATAAGAAAATACAAATAAAAGCCGAAAGGAGGCAGATTTTCCCAGCCGGCTAACAGTGCTTTGTGTGATTTTTTTGCCATAAAACAAAAGGTAGAATTCCGGAAAAAGGCCAAAAGAGCCAGTGTCAAACCAAGCAGTCAAAAGTGAAGAAACTCATAAAACAGCCACGAAGTTAAGAGTTATAATAACGCTCATATGCTGGCAGCGAATTAAAAGAAATGACCCAAAATAGCTGGCCGCAGTGAACCGCACAACGACGTCAACTGGCAGCCAACGCAAGTAAATGCAAGAGATCCGAGACTAAGATACGCATCCGCCAGATACGCCGGCTCCTCTGTGTGTGCATGTGTGTGTGTATGGCCCAAAGTAGCTGTGCACTTTCTACCGCGTACAAGTCAATTAAGCGCCAACTCAGCTACATTTTCAGGCTCGGATTCAGATTGGGACTCCGATGCAGATACAGATACACAAGCCGAGATACAGCGATACGAGATACAGATACAGAGCAGCCGATAGATGCGCATAACTGCAACTAACTGCACCAGCGCAGGCTGCGAAACAAGAGCAACAAGTTCAAGCGCCGCAAACACGGCCAAAGCTTAAAAACGAGTCCAAAGCAAAAGTCGCTCCTTCTGTGTTGAAATTTATTGAAATTCCTGTAAAATGCCTGCCACAAGAGTTGGCAACAGCAGCGGCAGCAGAAGCAGTCGGCAGTCTCAGAGCAATTGAAACACTTGTACTAAGCCGCTGCTTCTGCTGAGAAAAGGCCAGAGCAGAACTTTGCCTTCTGCAGCTTCCTCGGCCCGTGTTTCTGCCCCAGCCTCCCCTGCACCTGGGCAAACGATTTTTGCTTTTCGGTTTAAAGAACTGGTCTGATAGTGGTTATGCCAATGCCCAGGCGAGGGTATCAGGGGTAGGATGGACCACCATGTAAATGTGAATTTTTTAAAAGGCTTTAAGTGTCCTGATAAGCGAAAGATAGCTATATAATTCTATCGATAGAGAGTTGCTATTTATATCTTAAGAAGAGTTTCATGAAAGCAAGAAAGCCTTTGACTTGTAAGATACATAGTTCTGTCCTACGTATTTATTAGCCATACGGTTGAACATATATGTTATGACCAGAGCTATCATATCTAACTTTTTCCAGGACATATCCCTTATTTTTTGGAAGATATAGAATGAAAACATCCTTTATCCTGTCATTATATATATTATTGATTATATATCCGCCTTTTTTAAGTGGGAGAACCGCTCCAACCGGGCAACGATAATTTCTTTTTTATAACATAATGTTATAACATAATAAGCTTGGCTGCAGAAACATCCTTTCTCCTGTTATTATATATTTTATTGATTATATATTCGCCTTTTTTAAGTGGGAGAACCGCTTCAACCGGGCAACGATAATTTCTTTTTTATAACAAAATGTTATAACATAATAATCTTGGCTGCGAAAACTAGCTCACTGGCTTTCAAATATTAAAATCCTATTTCCTAAGACCGTTTCGGACGATGTCTAACCGGTTGCCATGTGAATTAAGCCACATGGATTTTTGTAAAGCCAGTTCCATGGTCAAATCCTGTTTCCCCTTTGATAATGACTTTATCCGGTTATCAATTCTTATGTATAGGTACCACTAGGTCGACTCTTTCCAAGCCACACGCGGCTCTTCCTTATTGTTGGAGGCCTGCCAGTCCGCCTGTCTTTGGTCTAAAACGCACTCGACAGGGGGGAGAGAAGGGGGAGCACGTTTGTCTTGCGGCCACAGATGATCTGGCAGTAAGATGCCTGTTGCGTTATTTGCATTTCACGTTCTGGGGGCCGCTCTGGTTTATACAGGTTTGCCGGGGCACATCTCCTGCCAGGCGGCCAACGACGGAGATGATGATGGGATGATAGGATGTGGGGCTGCGTAGAGTAGCATAAAATGGCTCGGCGTAATTATTGTAATATGCATTCGGCATTTGCAATTGAGAAATTGCCGTTGATGGTTGCATTGAACCTGCGATTGCAGCTGCCGAAACAATTAGCCGGCCCTTCGGCGACAGGCGATGCGCACGCCTGCCCATCAAGTTTGTGCCTTGAGTCTTTCGTTTTGAGCTAATGAACTGGCCGCGGCGGCCGCCCAGAGTTACCAAAAACCTCTGGGCCATGGCTGCCCGCAGCTGAGTGGACACAAAAAAAAAATGTATATATACATATATACAAACAAAATTTCTCCGAGCTCCGTTTTTGGTAAGCAGAAATGAAAGCAGCGCCAAGCGAGACGCACTTCTTATTTGATTACACTAGAAACGTGTGTGGTTTCTTTTGAGGAACTAGTTGTGCCACAGCAAATGGCATAATTCTTTTGTTCAAAATTTTGAAATTACCAGCCCCTGCTGGCATTTCACTTTTCTTTTAGGTAAATACTAAAAAAAACGAAGCCACAAAGACATTCGTTGGCTTTCGCTTTTACCCAGTACCCAATGTATTTTTAATAACAAACAAAACAAATTGTAATTTCACTTTTAACGAGCAAATGAAATTGTCACTTGTATCGAGTCGCCAGTGGAAATTACTTAATTGCCCATAAAGCGAGGTGGAGGGACAGAACCGGAGATGACGGCGATTCCGAACCCATCGAAATCATGCAAATCATCCGCTGCTTCTGACCCAGATCCCAGATCTACACCTCGCTCTTCCCAGGCATTCTGGT